CAACAACGATTGCTTTTTTCTTACTTTCAAGCCTAATATGGTCGGAAAAAAAATCCGAACCCAAAAGGAAAATTTTTTTGCATGTAATGTTTTTCATAGTTGGAAATATGATAAAAGGTTTTGTCAGTAAAAATGCTCGAAAGCCAATGTAAAGAACAAAATAAGCCAAACTTACTTTTCTGAGGACAAAATGGTCGATAAGGATGAAAAATACCACAGAGACTATACCGGAGAGAAGCGGAGACACAATCCATGATGCGACTGCAATTACAATTTCACCCTAATAGTGAAATACACCATAATAAACTCACAGATGCGCGAGATCTTATGCCAGCGAATCCCTGTTGTACCCCTTAGCATAAGGGAAAAACCGATAGTAGCGCCGACGATGGAGTGAGTCGTCGATACCGGTAGTTTGAAAAATGTCGCAAGCAACATCCATGCACCGCAACCTGCAAAAAACGGAAACTGAAAAAATGGAAAGGAAAGTGTGTCCAGATAGGCAGGCGGAAAACTTCTAACATTTTCAAAAAAAATTAGCTTCGATTTCGTTTCGTACAGTATACCAGTGCATCTTGGCAGCGCAGATAAAAAAAAACTTCGTAATATCGCACTTAAAGACTGCACTACTGTAAGTTACCGTATCTCTCACAGCATCTGAGAGATAAGGTATCTTACAGAAGATCAGCGCCGCTTTAGCCTCTCAAAGACCGTGGATACGGTAGCCTACGGTAGACCAAAAAATCTTAACTTCGGTCATCGATGTATTAAGACTGTCAGAATTCAGAATCAAGAATGTTTCAAAATCGTACACCAGAAAAGTCAAGAACTTCGCATTCATAATCACAGAAGTAAACACTTGAAAATAAAACTGTTTTTGTTCAAATTGTAAATTAAGTGAAATTCAAATTGTTTTTGACAGCAAATGAAAGGCTACGATAGAAAGTACAAGAAAAAATTAATCGTTCTCCGGACTTGTAAAAAGAAGTAAAAAAAAGATTCTGTTGCTATTCTCAAAACTGCTGACGATGCAAAAAGGTTATTTATGATATAAACAAAAAGCTCAAAGGCCTAAAATAGTTAGCAAAAGCGCTTACCAGTAAGGATAGAAATCTGTCCATACATGAGTTCGAGCTCGCTGTTGTTATAAACAGAGAGATCAAGGACTCCCTTGCGCATCGTATCCGTAACCTTATGACCTGAAAATTAGAGATAGAGAAGACGAAAACAGCTCTTAAAAAATATTTCTTCATGATCAAGCCGCTTCAAAACTTGGTCACACTGATATGACAAAT